GAAAGAGGAGCGCAAAAGTCCTCTTCGTTCTCGATCACCAGAGCTCCTTCCAAGCTGTTTATTGCTTTTGTACTGTAGTTTAACGCTAATCTTAGCCTCCGACTGCTCGGACGAGATTTCTTTATCTTTATAAATTTATTATTTACCTCTACTTTATTTTACTTTCTGTTTATTTTATACTTTGATTTTATTTATTCTTCGTTTATTTTTTTTGTACGGACCGCTTGGAGTTCACAGTCGAGAGCTTCTTTTCACGTCCGCGGCATTGAGAATCGAACTCACTGGGATTAGAGAATGTTTCCGAGAGCCCTGAACGTTGCGCGACTTTTGGGTCGGAGTAATCGCGCTCTTTTCGCGGTCACTCGCTACCCCTTTAACGCGCGACGACGCACGACGGCAGATAAAGATCTGTGAGAGACGCGCCGCGTACACCGGGATCGGCGCGATAGTTGGCACTGACAGATGAAACTATTTCATTCACAGCCGTCGTCGCCGTCGTCGGGCTTGACCGTGCGAGTCGTCGTCGTCGACGGGCTTGACCACGCGAATCGCCGCCGTCGTGCATGTGTGCGTGTTAACGCGGCTCCCGTGCACGTGCACGTACGCGCGAACACGGCGACGTGGATGAATGAACCGGCGCGCATACACACGCATATCCACGTACAAACGTACACAACGAAGGAACGATACCGCGCGATTACGGTGTAGGTGGTTACGAGCGTGAACGAGCGGGAGGATGTGCGACGGGGCTTTAAACGAGCGCGGCCGAGAAGACGTGCGGATCCTCCTGCGTGTCGCGGCTGGTGCACGCGTACCTTTATCATGCGTGAATTGGAAAAGTATTCATAAGCAGAACCGATCACCATAACATCAAAATGACAGTAAAACGAATCGTTACTGATCGAAAAGTTTTAATGATCAAACTTTTAATGATCATTTTGGAGCCATTTCGATGTCATGACTTTTTGGTCTGCTTGGGTTACTCCATCCTTGCAAAACTCGCCGAAGTTTCCCTCGACGAGTTTTCATTCGACGGGCAAGACATCACGGAGAACAATAATTTCGCTATGAAACAAATTTGCATATTTGATGAATATTTTGCATTTGTTGTAAATAATTTTTTGTAGCGAGCACAAAAAAATTAAGTATTTGTTACACCTGCAAATAATTTTGCGATACCTACATTTGCAAATAACATTTGCCATTTGTGTCATGGCATAGGATTAGCGTTCATAGCAAATTTTTTCTTTCTGTGATCTTTTCTTTGACTAAAAAACGGACTTGACGTAAAATCGAACAAATAGCATAACATCAATATCAACTAAATTTGAAGCAATTAAATTATAATATAATGTTTGGTCGCAAACATCTGTCTGCAAAATAATAAATTTGTCTGTTAGCCCTTGACATTTCTACTTTCGTTATCCGTTATAAATATAGCGGCACACGCATTCAGTGTTTCTTTGGGATATTAATAATAATACTATTAGAGTACTTAAGATAATTTTAAATTGAATCATTAAAATTATCATTTTTTTTTGCATGCGTCTTAGATAAGTAATGATAAAATGCCGCAGTTGTACATCGAGACTTTATTCTCTCATATAAACATAACAAATCGTTGTGCTAGAATTTATGATACTTGTATATTACATAAGTAAATCTTTTATACAGTGTCATTACTTCAGATTTCCAAACACCGTATATGTTTTAGGCACTGGAAAATGTTAATAAAGTCTCAGTATTATCTTCCTTATAGTAACTTTTCAAAGGACTTATCTGATTAATATACTATTTTCACTACATCTAAATATAATGAATATATCGGCATAACATTGTTGTAGTATTACTTATTGTAGAATATTTTATATATTATATTCTCGATATCTTGCAAAGCTAAGTAAACGAATTGTTTTTATTCATTATTTAAGAGTAAAGATATTTAATACTATAGTAAAAGAACTCCTTTATGGTGTTTCCCTTTCTTGTGACATACATATTATCGTATATATTATATTTATACATAAATTTCTCTCATTATATTTGTGCCCGTAAATTAAAGTATATATGTATTTATACTTTTAATATAAAATACTGTATCACCTACTTCTCTCTCTTTTCTTTTTGTATACCTTTTCAATATATAAATTATTCATGTCTACACGAATATTTATGTAAGTATATCCCCCTTTCCAAGATAATTTCGTAAGACATTAAACAAGAAGTTTTTTCAATACCAGAAAAACTGCCAGAGTTACTAGGAAAATGTTTTTTTAGTTCCTACTATATGATAGATTGACAGCGTCTTCAACTTTTCCTTAAGGTATATAATGCCTAATATGCAAATAGCTTTGAAAAAATGAAAAGAAGAGGAAGAAAGATTGAAACTTGAAGAGGAAAGAATACTACAAGAATTACGAGATTGGAACAATTGCGACTTGAACAAGGGTGCAAAGAGAAGCAGAAACTGAAAACAATGAAAAGAGAGATTGAAAGTGCATATAATAAGAAATTGTTAATGACAAAATAAAAATAGGATAAAGCTGGGATAGTTCTTCAAGTAAGAGATAAATCAGACTCAGTAAACGAGAATGTATTAAAATGAATTGAAATTTTAATCCATTTAAATGAATTTAAATGGATACTTTAGTAGCATTCACTCAGTAGTCCATTTTCACTTTTTTAGAATTCAATTGAACGGAAAACTTTTTTTTAGATTTAATGGGATTGAAAAACTACATTTCTTATTCAGAATTTTTAATTGAGCAGTATTCACAATGCACTTAAAGAATTAAAATTTTTCTTTTTAGATTGAAAGATATAGAGATATGCTTCATAAAATTCCTATAAATGAATAAAAATGCATTGGGATTAAAAAGGATTCATTTCAATATTCGCGAATGCGTACTTCTGAAAATCTGTGAATCCATTTAATCCATTTCAATCTATTCTTGTTTACGAGGGGGTCACCAAAAAAGTGATTTGAAATGCCCAAAGATAATTAGTTTCATCCAAAACTTTAAAAAATTTTTAAATAATGTAATCCTCGGACCGAAGAAAGAACACGGAGGTCCCGGTCGAGTTATCACTACGAACTTAAATCATTATTTAAAAAAATAAAAAAATAAGAAATAAGCGAAAATAATAAATTAATGTTTATTCTGCACACTCGTTCCCAATTATCAAGGGCGTAGATTGAAAGTAGTGGTCGAAAAAAGAAGAGAGTTAATAAATAAATGTTGTTGTCAGCATTTGCTTGAATAAAAGGAATGCGCTATTCTTGTTGATATCTAGAACTCTATTCCTTAACTTGCTCTTAAAATTCCAATTCGCAATATACTTCGGTTTAATTCTTTTTCCTAGTTATAATCTCTCATCTTAAATACGAATTGAATTTAGTTCACAGAATAAATAATTTTGCAATTAATTAATATAATTTGTAATCACAAAGTTTAGCCTTTTGTTAGCTCTGACAATATTTCGAGAATTTTATTATTTCACGTACATATTTCAACTCTTGTTTAATCTGTTATATATCTTGGCAAGAGAAATAAATTTATATAATTATAAATATTTTGATTCATTCAAAATATGTAAAATGTCATTATACATATATACTATAAATATAGAAATATATTTTTAATTATATCTTTAGATGTTTTGTGTCCATTTCTTCAATGTAGATTAACTTTAATTTCGGTTTAACTTAATCTTTATCCTTTCTAATTCTTAAAACTAAAAAAAGATAAAAATTAAGTTAAACTAAGATTAAAATTAATCTACACTGGTAGAAACGGGTCTCAGATAGTAAAACTATGTAAAAACAAAACTGTCATATATATAGACCGAGGGGCTACTCATCTACGAAATCAACGGAATTCACTAAATGAGGCAATCAAGCATTCCTCATTGAAATCAAGAAATCATCTGAAATCGAACAAAAAAACATTGTCGTACCTTCGGTCGCGCGTCTCGAACTTTCTTTCGGAAAACAAATAAAATAACTTTGCAATGACGTTGAAATAACTATGAATACAAGAAATGAGAAATCATTTTTGTAGGTGAGTACCCCCTCGATACAGACTGTTTAGGCTTTACACATACAATACGTACTTATAAATTTCTGAGTATTAATAAATCGAAGACAATATTAAGAGAAAGAGAGAAAGAGAGAAAGAAAGAAAGAAAAAAAAGAGTATTCATCTTTCACTTTAATGCCATAATTGAGAATTGCACTAATTAAAGTTTCTTCTATATTATATAAAAGATAATTATATAAAAAATATTAAAATTTATGTTTAATATTTAACTGATTGATGTATTGTATATGTATGTGTACTAATATATATCTACTAGGTATTATATACAGATAAACTAAGTTTATACATATAGGCACACACGTCGTATGATTGATATGACGAAGCTTAAGAAAATATCTTGTATGATGGCAATTTTGGTTAAAGCATAGAATGAAATATATGTATACTTATATATACATATATATATATACTGGCCTATATTTATTGGCATAGTTGCAATTCAAATTAATTGTAATTCCTATCTTTGTAATTACATGGCAATTTAATTATTAATATGATAGAATCAATATTAGCGGATTATAATTCTTATCTTTGTAATTATGTGACAATTTTATTTCTTAATAAAATTGTCACATAATTTTTCGATTTATTAATTATAATAAAATCAATATTAACAAGTACTATACTTCTTTTTGAAAGAAAAACTCATTGTAATGAAAGCGATAACCACTAATAATTTCGAATTACAATTAGTAAGCGCATTGTAAATTCAAATCAGATTTCTCATCGCAGTCTTTTGAACGACAGTTCAAAAATTTGTGACCTGTAACATTATAAAGGATTTAAAATATTGTATAAACTTTAACGATTAATCTCCTACGTCTGAGTCGCCGTCGCCTATGGCATAAAGAATATGGAAGGCAATTCCAAGAAGCGCAGTTCCTATAAGATCGCCTGCTGCTGTTAAATATGGTATTGCGGAACTGTCTGGATCCATACCTCTTGTCCACATCCAAATAACCATTAATTGCGCAATATATAACAACAGGATTACCTAAAAATTAAACAAACAAGTTTAATCAATATTAATAATTTTTTTGAATTTCAGTATCATTTTTATAAAAATTAATATATGTATACCTGTAACATTGCAGCGATCAAATATATCGTGATAAATATAGGCGTGAACGAGGTATGCCCCGCCTGAAGGTAACTAATGGTATAACTAAAGATTAAGTGCCCTGGTATTACCATCATCAGCAATACTCTAGCTGTCCTCGCATGTCCTCCTGTTAAAAATTCCTTGTTACAAATTCACGACCATGTAATTATATCTTGTGCAAAAACGTTTATAGTAAACTCACCTTTAGCAAAAAATGCGTGGAATGGACTAATGCAAATGTTCAGAGTCTTTTGAACACCTGTGTGATAATCTTTATGTAGAGACGTCGATATTCTACTGGCCTGAACGGCGACCAAGTTTCCCCCAACACCATTAATTACTAATTGAAAGACTGCTATACCCTTGTAGCTTGATATGGTGTAGTCCAAAATTAGTCCACCAAGACTAAAATCAATGTTATTCATTGACGCGTGCGTTCACCTCATGAAATTTTTATAAAATGTACAACGGAAAATAATCACCTGCTAATTAACATCGCGGATATCACAGGCGTCCAGCCGTAATCCAATACTTCTTTAGTAAATGGATTTCTAGCTGCTATGTAACCCCATACAGGAGTTATAAATACACAACATACTATCAATAATGGAGCTGTCCACGGAGCGCTACCTACAAAATTCGTCGTTTTTAATCAAATAAGCACAATACGGTAAAACAATCATTTATACCTATTGCTTTATATAATATAGAAGCGATCCAGGATAAAAGAGCTAAAGTAGTTAGATCTCCTAAGGAAGCCGCGATCGGCGTAGCGACATTGTCAGGATTGATGTTCATTCGTCGCGACAATAATATGACTGCAACCATCACGAGGCCCAGAAAGAAACTGGCTACGGAAGCGGTGATCAAGGCACTGGCGCACAATAAGAGTCCATGGTGAATATTGAAGTGAGCTTCCGGAATCCAACCAAGGATCACGGCCGCTAAGGACGCCAGCAAACCAACTACCATAGCCTGACATTGGATTAAAGCTAAATTTCCCATAACCAATGTCCATTGTTGTTTCGTCGTATCCATTTGACCCAGATTAGCTTGGGTCGACAATCTGGAGGCCAATGTCATCTCCAGGTTTCCCTTTAAACCCAGTAACGCAGGAACTAATATGTATACCTCAGATACCACTTGATACACTGGCCAATGCTAAAATTCAATGTTTCATTTATGAGATTAGATTTATTAGCCTTACTGAAAAACAGTTTATAAGTTCATAATTAGTTCTTGAGAGACGTGATAAAAAAAATTTTATTGTTAGTAAAGAAAAGCAGCTGCTACCGTATCTTATTTATTTTCTATTTCAGAATTCCTCAAAAATATGCATGATTGTGATATATGTCATCCATTTCAATCGATGTATATATTCAATAGATTAACTTTAATCTTGATTTAATTTACTTTTTAAAAAATTTTCTTCTAGATTTTTTTTTAACTTAGAAAGAGACAAGTTAAATAGAGATTCTTAAAGTTAATCTACATTGGCAGAAACAAGATTCAATTTTTAATACCTGCACCACATCTAGCAGCAAACTAGCGGCAACCATGCCGAAGCCGGCAAGTAGGAAGGGTATAAACATCTGGATGGATATAGACCAGACGGTTTCATCGTCCGCATTTTCCACCTCATTCCTTTGATTGTCCTTTTTTCCGCTGCTAAATACGACACTCTCGCTGTCCGACGGTATCAGTCGCTGTATATCGCCCTTTTCGTTTTCATCGCTCTCATCTTCAGAGTTGATCTCCAATTCCATATTGTTGATATCAGTCGAAATAAATAGCTCGTCGCTGCCTAATCCCACCATTTTATTCGGTGGTGAGCTGCTTTTTCTTAGTTGTCTGCGACGAATTTTATTGTGCCCAAAGCGGTTTTCTTGTACCTTCGCATGGTTCATCCTTGTTAGCTTTCCTTTTGCGAATCACCGGCCAATACTGCGATCAAAAACAGAGTGATTCGTTAGAGCAGCCAAAAAATACCTGCGAATTTTTTTGAAATAATTATTTAAATTTCACGCGTGTCTAATACTTAATTTATGAATTGGGTATTATCAGTAGAAGAATTAGAGAGGTAATTTAGATTTGTCGATAAAAAATGTACTTGAGATTAATTGTTCGTGATAAGGACAATATTGTAATATGTACCACTTCTCACAATGTATTTTTAGTCTAATGTTAACAAAAATTTAATGAGACTTGTATAAAAATAAAAGTTGACAGAAAGATTATTGGAATTTCGTTAAGGATAATTCATATTGCCAGCAAGATGGGAGATTTATTTTCTTACAACACTGAGATGTTGTTAAAGACTTGAGTGTAATTAGAACTACGTAAGCGAAAGATACGTTTCGTCACATTTGTTCTAGCTTATTTTTAGAGTTGGATCTAATTTAGACCCATCGTGGTTTTGCAAGCTCCTGACTCTCTTCTTTCTTTCTTTTTATTTCACCGAGTCGTATAGTCTCTTAATGCTATTATTATAATTCTAAAATAATCTTATATTTATATAATACAATTCCGTGACAAAAGAAGATTGCAGTAATGACGTATAAGATAAATTACTATTTAGTATAGTTTTTATAAATAATTACTAAATTTTTATAAATAATCTGTAAATTTTCTTGTGAATTAATAACACATGACGGAATTTTAAATTTATAGTTAATTTATTAATATAAAAATAGCTCTCTTTCATTATAAATCTTGATCAATAATTTGTCTTTAAAGTTTTTTAAATTATATAAAAATAACGAAATAATTAGAAAAATATAAAAAAATTTAAATTTATAAAATAAAATCAATATAATTTTATAAAGACCATCCGGTAATCTTTTATCACGTATAAGATTACTTATTGCATATAACATTATCAAGGTTTTGCAATGTACACAGTATTATTTTCACGTTCAGATATAGTTGTCGACAAAAACTTTATATTTCACAAATCGGTATTCATTCACGTAAAATTGTATTTCCTTAAAGTTCACGATAGAAAGCGCGTCTGATCTTTGTGCCAAAAGATTCACCCAGAACACATATATAAGATTTTATTTGATCATCTCTCAGAAGGCAATGGCAAACCACTGAGAGAGTATTTGCCATTATAACAATTGCCATTATGACCTCTTCTAGTAGACTATCTAGAATCAACATTAAAACTGTAGATCCTATATATTTGCAGATGTATGCAGAAGAGTTACATCTCTGACGACGGACTACAGACTTATTGTTAGAAGAAAGCTAACACACAATTTCAATTAATGACAAAAACTTTTCATAAATGTCGTAACCTTAGTTACGTAAAGAGTTACGCGTCTGTTTTTTGTGCTAAAGATACGGGTTTAAATCTACACAGAATATATCTAGACTTTATTTGATTGTCACCTTTATTAACGAAGGCAATTGCAAATCACACAGAGTATTTTTGGCATGAGAATCTTCTTTTAATAGGCCATTCGGCACTGACGTTAAATCTCACATATGGATATATGCAGAAGAGATCACCACGTCTCGGGCAAGAGATCATAAACTTAAGAACGTTTACATTGAGTAAAACGTAAAATTATATTTGTATTATAAAACAGCCTCAAGATATTAAAATAATTTTTTTAAAACAATAATATACGACAAATCACAAATACGAGTCAGACACGGAAATTAAAACGCAATCATAAATTAATAACAAATTAGTTCAATAATAAAAATATAATTGTATGTTTCGGCTTCCTCTTCGAGCCATCTTCAGCATGTGTCAACAAAATTATGTCAAGGATGTATTTTATTGTGGATCACAAAGCGGAATACTGTTTCATTAAGGATATGTCAAAATCGTAAAGGTTGCTTGGTACCAACATAGTGGATATAATTTCCACTGTAAATAAATAAATTTGGTTTTGATGTCAAAAATAGTTACAAATTTAAATATAGCAAACAAGGAGGACTCACCTAGGGTCAACAGTCTAAAAACATAATCAAAAATAAAAATAATAAAAAACAGGTAAACAATCTACTATATTGGTATCAAGCAGCCTTTGTAATTATGACATCTTCAATCACGGAATATACCGCTTCGTGGTCCACAGTAAGATGCATTCTTGTACACAACCTTGTTAAAGTACACACATGCTGGAGATGGGGTTGGAAGAGAGAACCGAAATGTACAATTATAGGCCTGTTCTTTTTAGCTGAATTTCTTGCACGATTCATCTTTTATCTTTTTTTCTCTAAAAGTCGAGAGAAAAAGACAAAGAACTAAGAAGTTTAACTAAAAAAAACAGGATTATTATTTTTATTATTGAATATTATTTCAGTAACGCAATAATAAATTAATAATAAATTTTAGATATTAATGTGCTCTAGTTACCGATAGTGTTTGTCGTTTGTTGTACACTATTATTTTATCCATATCACGAATCTTATTATATATATTTGATTTTTCTAGTATAAATATCTCGGAATACGCGCTCCTTATCATACATTACAAGGAAAACAGATAATATGGCTGCGTCAGACAGACAAAGCAGCTCAGTGAGATCTTTAATATAATTAGTTCTTCGTTTTTAAAGATTTTTTTTATTGCTGCACTGGACTACACTAAAATTTTTCTTCTCATTTTCATTAAATTTTAAACAAATATTTCACTTTAAATATAAAATGTATACTAATTGATTTTGAATGTAAAAACTAATCATAAGATTTGTTTTTTATTGCTGAACTACAGAACTTCAATCTCTGCTCTTGTTAAATATCAAACATATATTATTTCACTTTAAGTATAAAGAGTATACAATAGTTATAAAAAACGTATAATAAAGAATTTATTTACTGAGATCAAATAAAAACAGACTTCTAATAAGAAAATCACACTGAGCGCTCACTAAGCTATTTTGATTGCACAACTACTTTGGAAAGCACGTTATCAGTGCTATTGTGTATTTCACTCATTAGATGTAAAACAATAACAGAATGCACAGTATGACGCAATAGCACAGTATGATAGCATGAATGTAGCCTATAATTTTCTTCTTTTCAGTTGGATTTTTTGTAAAATTAATTTTTCCCCTTTTTCTTTCTAAATTGAAGAAAAAATAAACGCAACACAAGAAGTTAATTGGTGCGTTCCAGCAAGAGACACAATGTAAGGCACACAGAAAAACTTTTACTTAATAGTAAAACGAAAGGAGTAAAGAAATCAAGATGTTGGATTTGCTATTACTTATGTCTTACTGCTTAATTTTTTTTTTTGTGTTATGGCTCTCAGACTAAAGATTAAAATTGTATTGAAATTTAACCAATCAAAGCAAAGTTCATTAAACATAAGTTCAGTATTTTTTTCTGCCTGTTTCTAATGATATTGTTTAATTTCAATCCTGGTTTAACTAATTCTTCAGTCTTTTTCAGTTCTAAGAATTAGAAAAAGTGAAGAGTAAATTAAACCGAGATTAAAATTAAACTACATTGTAGAAATGAGCACTGGTTAAATTCGAATCCAATCTCAATCTCTAGTTTAATTATGATTTTGTGGTCTCTATTGTGATTAGCCAATTGCTTACTGTTAGGTCAAAGCTTAGGTTTTATTACTTAAGTTCTTTTGCGTGCTCCTTAATATAGCGATCATTTCAGCTTTGATTAACATTGACAAACAATAAGGATGTAATGATTTACTGCGTTAGACTGTGTTATCTATATGTCTTGCTGGAAAGCATTTGATAACAGTCACACATCATAACAAATAAATAAAAAGTTATTTGCAAATAAAAAGATTCATAAAAGTAAGGAATAGATTTTCGATTTAAGTGTTATAATATTTTGAATATATTCGATTATTTCGCCTAAATTAATCATCAAAATTTACTTAATATTTACTAAAATCGGCTAAAATTTTAAATTATACAACACTATTTGTCGTCATATTTCCATAGCTGATATTGATTCGTTTTATCTCAATTTCACCAGGAAAAAAGTCCTTTCAATATCTAATATTCTACACATGAAACTCCATAATATTTAAGTTTATTTTTAATGTACTTAAAACGTCGCAATTAGTTTTTGCATTGAAATGTTCGTACTATGAAAAATGTATAACCGCGTAGCGAATCCTAAAAGTCTCACGATACATAAAATAAAGACATTTTGCGATTTCGTCTGAAAATCCTCGTTAGACAGCCGCGCTGTCAGGACGCTTAATTTATAGAAGCAAATTTTTACATTTGTTTCAACAAAAGAGCGTTTCCTCTTCGCTCGCGCGGTTGCCTGACAACTGCTGATAGCCCGGCCGCCATAACCTCAAAGTGCCACGTATACCTCGAATACACGACTTTTCTTCGCGTGTTGATCCATCGGCCGATCATAAGAGCGATACTTCCGCGTACGATGTCCAAGATAATTCCGGATTCCTCGAGAAGAAACAAAAGGTCCTCCGTCGAGTTCACCGAGCAATCATAATCATTTTAATCAACTCTAATTCACTGACAAGCACACAGCGTGAAGTACGCTGCGTACAGTTACGTATCTACGTCAATTCAATAGTTACGCGCAGTGTTGAGTGAATGTTGCCGAATCGGAGTCGGGCGCAGTTCGATACTATCGAATCGGCCGGCCGCTTGCGATTCTCGAATGGCGATCCAAGTCATTGCGGTCGTATTCGCGCGCGCGATATCTTTTCTGAATTTTCGCATAGAAATCGCATAGATTTGTTGAAATGCGAGTGAGCAGACATTGGAACGAACTGAAAAGCTGTAGGAAATGGGATAGCATGGCTAGCTGAGACGGATGGTAATGGATAATCATTGTCAGCTGGGCTGCAGATGAACGAGCGTTGTACATTAAGAGGTACGTAAGTGATATGCATATTAAAGTGTGGATTAAAAGCGATATAATTCCGCCGGGCCAAGTTTTTTTATGCGCTTGAGATATTCTCATTTATGAAATGTATGATAAATAATAAATGAAATGATCCAATGGAAGTAATAATGATTTTCGATGCCACCGATATTTTAATCGACGCATGTACTTCCCGCCAGTAAAAAATGGTTCGCCTTGGTGAAAATAAATATTGGAGTGTAAGTCGAATGTAAGAGCTGGAAAGTGTTAGAAACGTAAACGAAGCTTTTAGGAGGCAAAAAAATGTAAAAGGAATGTTTATATGTTTTTATCCTTCGTAGCAAAAAATAAAGTCACAGAATACCCTATAAGCGCATAATATTATTTAATATTAAATAATATTCCTGAAATATTAATGGATGGTTATATGTCCACTCCTAATAATATTATATGATTATTAAAAGTAACATTTATTTAATGTTACTGTAATATCGTATAAACATTAGAAAGTATTATAACAACATTTACTTTAATTTGTAAAACTGTTACATCTGTTCAGTATAAGTATACGTTTAAAAACTAAAAATGATTTTTGCTCTCAGTTGTAGAACTGGATATGTACTTAAAATCACGTTGAAACGTTTTTTTAGCACAAGATGCAGCATAGACTGATAAGAACTTTTCGTTACTGGATTGTGAATTCAAATTGCACAAAATTAAAAATAATTAATATTTAAACGTATACGTTTTTAAACGTATACTTATACTGAACAGATGTAACAGTTTTACAAATTAAAGTAAATGTTGTTATAATACTTTCTAATGTTTATACGATATTACAGTAACATTAAATAAATTACTTACTTTTAATTAGTTACTTTTAATAATCATATAATATTATTAGGAGTGGACATATAACCATCCATTAATATTTCAGGAATATTATTTAATATTATATAATTTTAGTAAAATATTATTAAAATGTTATATTTAATATTCTGAGAATATGCCTAAAATATTATTTAATATTAAATAATATTATGCGCTTATAGGGTAGATGAGACAACTTGAGGGATGCGCAGTAGGACCAAATTTGATACAGTTTGATTGGCCATTGTGTGACAATTGCGGTAAGAACAAAATTTAGGACCTAAATTTGATTGGCTAGTTGATTACTCTGAATTGCCGTTATGCGCGTTGTCTCACCTGTTTTCTTCCACCATGGTTTTATCTTTGTTCATTGCATGTCAAGAAGGATAAAATGACATTTGTGTCGATTGTATCTCCTAAAAGGAAAGCAGTCAATGTAATATCACTGTCACCTTTTGATAATTTTACAGTGACATCTCAATTTATCTGTGACTATTGTGATGCAAATGTGACTTTTTTTCTTTAGAAAATGTTTTGTTGTCTCAATTTTCACCTCCTATATTTTAATAATAATTTATTAGTGACACATTAATTAAGCATGGGGATATATTGAGTCAATATTAGGCTAATATTGGACTACTATAATATTGTTCCAATAATAATTATGCTACTAACATATAGAAGCTTTGTTTATATGTTTCTGTTAGGGCTTAGACACCATAAATGGAACAAGGAATAAGTAAACAAGGTATAACAAATTTAAATCTACTGGATACATAGGGATACAGAGTGCCTATCATTTAGACACAAATCTACACAAATATCGTTTTATCTTTCTTTGCATTCTATAAGTAACAAGACAAAACGATATTTGTGTTGACTTGTGTCACTAAATAGAAGACATAGTTTCTGATTGGTTGAAATCTTATTTCTTGTTCCTTATTCCTTATTTCTTTCATTATGTCCGAGTCCTTACTTTCTTACATTCGGCTTATATGTTCCAATTTTTATTTTAGCAAAAGTTGCATTTTTCAAATGCATGTAGGAATTTTGCATGTCTGACATGAAATATGAATTTATCGATATTGTAGCAATTTTATGTGTAGGTTAAATGTTGATTAAAAAAATGGGTAGATTAAAAAGTGCAAAATTTATGAAGTGATTTAACATGTTTAAAAACAATTTTATGTGAAAAGATATTTAGATGTTGACAGACATAATAAAATAAAAAAAATTCAACTATATGTCCATTATATATGTGTATATAATATCAAAATCAAACAATATTAATAAATATTTTTTACATCTATCTAATTAATCAATACTATGATTGTGTGTGTGTGTGTGTGTGTGTGTGTGTGTGTGTGTGTGTGTGTGTGTGTGTGTGTGTAGTATGTATAATATATTATTTTAAATATACATATATAATATGAAAATTAATAAATATTTTATGGATAAGTAAATCTTTTATATTTATCTATCATAAAAATATTTTTGGATTTTATATATATTATTCTTATTTATAATATGCTATACATAATACATAGATTATAAATAAATAAAGAACTGTATATATAAATTAAAAACTACACTTTAGTCAATATTATAACACGGAATGAAATAAATTTTTTTATTTACATTTTTTCATTTTTTCCGTAATATTTATTATTAAAATATTTTTAAATTTATATATAATGAAAAATAAAAGGATACATATCGAAAAATATTTTAATTAATATTACAAAGAAAAATTAAAATTTGGAATACAAAATATTTCATATTTATTGGTGTTCGCGAAATAACATGTTTTGTCTGTAATCTTGTAAATTGCATTGAAAGATACAAATTGATTATTAATGTACATCTCCATATACGTGGTGTAGTAATAAAGTTCAGTGCATGTTATGAGAAGATAAACACCACTTAATTAATATACAAGTGATCTTTATTATCCTTTAAAGTAATCCCCCTTAGAGACAATACACTTTTGAGAGACAATAGCTTGAGGAAACTCTGTGAAAAGTCATCTTTGAATATCGCTTTAAGTCTTATTGTTACATGATTTTGAGTGTTCAAAATGTTTGTAAATCCTTTATTTTAGGAAACAAAAAGATCTGCTGGAGCAAAAATTGCTGTACACATTTTGAGTCAGAACTCCAGGTAGAACACAGAGTCATAATTAATTATTCATAATCATATCATAGGATGTCATTATATATATAACATCATTCGATATATATAAAAAAATGAACTTATAATAAATGAAGTCATGATGTTGCTCTTATGATATTATTTTGATTTCTAAATTCTACTTGGGAATGTGTAACAAGACTTAAGGTGATATTCAAAGATAACTTTTCATATAATTTCCGCGAATTATATGAATCTTGTCTGAAGTATACTATCTTTAGAGGGAATTACTTTGAAGGATGATAAAGGTCATTTGTATATTAGTTAAGTGATTTATTTTCTCATAACATTTACCGAATTTTATTGCTACACCACGTATTATTACAAATAACAGAAATTATGAGAAAATTATAATAATATTTTTAAGTATTTTAAATATAAGAAAGATATGTAATTATATTATATTATAGTATTTGAAAAAATAAACTTCAAGACCTATAAAGTTCTTTATCTATTACATCTACCAATATATTGCTGTTGTGTTCTCTCTCTCTCTCTCTCTCTCTCTCTCTCTCTCTCTCTCTCTCTCTCTCTCTCTCTCCTTCATAACGCTGAAATAAAATGTACATAATAACATATATAAAGCTGTTTAAAAATTGAAATTATTTATCATGCTTTCTATTATAATACTAATCATTAGGAGATCCAAATTATATAAGATAGAATTTTTATAAATTTGTCTTCGCTTGTTTTAGCTATTCTGTGGTAGACTGGACTGAAGAGTTGCAAACCTCCTAATAACCTATAAATGACTGAAGACATAGCTTAGCGCTCAGTGACCTTGCTCATTTGCATGTAAAATTTATAAATCGAGCATTCTGGCATTCTAGAGTTAATAGTAATATAAAATTATCTTTAAAGCTAAAAAAATCAACGAAACTTGTTATAAAAATAATTTACCTATCTCCAAATATTTTGTTTGTATATAATCGTATTCATTCATTGTGCAAAAAGTTTATTACTTTAATATTAATTATTTAATTGATAATTACTTTTATATTGAACATTTTTGTGCGTTTTTCGCGAACGTTGAGGATGGTAGGATAAATTTTCATTTGACACACACACACACACACACACACACACACACACACACACACACACACGTGTCAATTCATATACAGAAGTTCTATTATTCATATCTGATGTACTAAATGCCTTATGCTTACAAATTGGAATGTCAGAATTATATTACCGTTTATTATTTTAGTTGATGTGTTATATTCCGCCGCTTTCCCTCTCGAGAGTCAAACGTCATTCGTCTTTGGCTATTCGTCTTCGAATATCTTATTGCCAGTACGCAGTGCTTGAAATACCTTATGTCTGGGCGACTAGGCATAGTGCCCATCGACGTACTCGCAGCCCTGATAATACCTCGCAAGGCTTTGAACGATCGAGGCGTCTGGTCTTCGGCAGAGGGAAAATCAAATCGTGACATGAAATCGCTTGTCTAAATCGCGCGGAGTTTTAAGACAATCTCTGTAACACCATGTTGAATGGTACCATTGTTAACACAACGCTCTTTGTGTTGTACATAATATTTTTTAAGCATCGAATAATCGTGGCTACTGAGAAGAATTTATGAAAGTAAGTATTTAAATTTTTTATAATTTGTTACGTTAATTATTATCTTATTACAATTTATTTCTTATTACAATTTAGTTAATGCATACGGAGAGTAGTAACGCATTTTAAATGACAAATGAATAAATTCTCGTGCCAATAATGGTACAATGTACGGTTGAATACGGCATGCTAAATTGGGAGATAATTGTCTTCTCTTTTCGATAGATGTATAATAGGTCATTAAACGCAAGTAGAACCCGTCGCGATCGTATTTAATTATTAGCGTTTGTGGTATATCGGTTTGTTAATTACGATGCGTGTGAGCTTCGTATTGTAATATTCTGAAATAATGGTTTACACGTGTTCTTTGACGGGACGCAGTTATGTAACTAATCGTGTTCGCGGTTGAAACACTAAAATACTCGTACGCGTAACATCGATATATTATGTAATAACCCTTGTAATAGTCCTCGAACAAATAGAAAGATTTTAATTATATGAGCCAGTTTTCATCTTTCATATATAATTGATTCGCAGAACACAAACTATCAGTAACATATAATTTCCTACTTAACAATGAAACTGTTACGTACAACATGTATTATATTACGCGCAGGGAAATTATAATAATGTCGATGTAATATTATCGTCAGTTTGTGTTTTGCGGAGAAGTGTTAATATAATGTAATGCGATCGCTTAATACAATTTAAACAAATCAATTTTATTTGCTCGTTATAAATCTACGTTCGTTGCATTGATCTTGTTGTTTCAGTTTTGACGATGGGTCGCAGAAAAAGAAATCCGAAAAGGATCTTTGTCACTGAGAAAATTTGCGAGAGGAAGGTAGCAGAAAAATTAAATTCCGACGAAAAAGAAGCGATAGAGGAACAAAGAGGAGAAAATCTTTCTATCAATGAAGTCGCGATTGACGTTTACTCGCGTTTGAAATTGCCATTCGTGTACCCGATGCAACATCGATCGTCGGACGACAGCGACGAAGAGGACACTGTCGAGCTGAACTTCTGGCCACGTTTTGTCTTCGTGTCGAATCTATGTCTGATCTGCATGGAACGGTCGGAGGAAACCTGTGAATCTTGCGGCATGGTTTCTTACTGTACCGTCAGACATATGAAGCAGGATCGACCGAAGCATCGTGGCCTGTGCAAAGTTCTCGCCGAAGTCTGTCAGATTGGAGGTGGCTTGTCGTTACTGTTGGAACTCAGCGCGGATGATTATCGGATTTATCGGTTGAAATTGATCGAGATAGTACAATGTCGCTTGAACAGGCCTCTTCAGCTCTGGGAAAAGGAAATCCTTCTTTATCCCCGCGTTTGTTGCAGTTGTCGTCGCTTCTCGACGACTCTGAGATGTTGCCCGGCATGCGGAATCGGCTTATTCTGCGAGAATCATGACGGCGGACATGAAGAATGGTGTCGAGAGTTTCAGGTGTTTCGTAGAATGCTGTTCATGCAGCACAAACACGGTTATATAGAGCCTGAGATTCCGGATACCTTCCAGAAAGAGCCACTTCATTTGCCGGGTAATTTTGATCTGTTAATAGTACAGCTTTACGGCCGATCAACATATTATTTCAATATGGATTGCTATACGTACTGCAGCCTCTCTCAAATAGCGTCTATTCCATTAACGGTTTTGTATTCCATGCAAATTTCTTGTCAGAATTGGAAAATTATCGATACCTTCGTGGTTCATGTAATAGGTGCTGAGTTTCAGTATGAATGTATAAATTTGCACGTGTGGGAGAAACTTTTTCTGCATCTCCTCCCGAATTTAAAGCATCTCAAGTTGATGTTTGTTGGTCCGGAACTGAGTCTGCCGACAGTGCCATTAGACCTATTAACCGCTGTGAAGATCTGTTCGTCTTGTAAATCATCTGGTCGACGAGTAAAAATTTCGTTCCATCCTAAAAAATTTTATCACGATTTCTGTCGCTCCAAACAATTTATAGAACCGCATCTCGTGTGCCTCTTTAATCCAGGTCTTTATCGGGAAACTGGTTTTGAAGGCAAAGATACATGGCCGGAGACGATACGAGAATTTTGTAAAATGAAAATTCCCGTGTGCGTGACGTCTTACACGAAGCAGGAAATTCCACGAGAGATGATTAGAATAAAATCGATCGCTGATGTAGAAACGATTTTGGAGCCGCGAAAAAATCCATTCGCTTCGATCAAACCTGATAGAAATTTCGTTAGTGACGATACAGCGCCACTTATATATAAAAATTATTATCTTGCCATGGTTAAAGGAAAATAATTAATATTTTGAAAGAGATTTTCTTTTTAAGTTACTTTACGTTTGAAATATTTTTATATTATATCTCTTTTAATTTCTAGTATTAGAGCAAGAGCATGGTAGACAAACTGTTGGCCATCCCCATGCGTGGTTACATATATTGCCAAGAACTTTCCATAAATGACAGAACAGTTGGCAGACGCTTTATCATGTGCTCTTGCTCTTACCTTTAATTTATATGCAAATGTCATATATGTAAAAGAGATTATTATATAATATAACAACCAAAGTTGGCGAGTTGTCAAATTTGATATATATTATAATATATTGTACAATAATTTTTTGTTATTGTATTGTAGTCTCTAGTTCAAATTGGGAATTAAATTAGTACTTGAAATACTTTTTACATCTTTTAATTTTTAGTACTAGGACAAAAACAGACAATAAATAAAATGTTGATTATACCCATGTGCGTGATTATATTCATTGCCAAAGACTTTGAATAAATGAATAGTTGGCCGACACTTTGTCTATCGTGTGCTTTTATTTTAATTTATATGCACATGTTATATATGTATGTGAAATTTTAAAGAGATTACTATATACTGTGGCAACTCCAAAGCTGGCGTGTTGCCACATTTAAGATATGTTGTAATATACAATAATTTTTATTATTGTATTGTAGTCTCTATTTCAATTTAGGAATTAACTTAATACTTGAAATATTTTTTATATCTTTTAATTTTTAGTGTTAAGGCATTTTTTATATCTTTTAATTTCTAGTATTAGGACAAAAGCAAACGATGAACAAAGTATTGGCTGTATTCATGTATGCGATTACATACATTACCAAGGACATTTAATAAATGACAGAACAGTTGGCTGACACTCTCTTTGTCTATCGTATGTTTTTACTTTTAATTTATATGCAAACGTTATACGTGAAATTTTAAAGAGATTATTACATATATGACAACCAAAGTTGGCGAGTTGCCAAATTTGATGTGTACTATAAAATACAATCATTCTTTGTTATTGTATTGTAGTTTCTACCTCAAATTGGGAATCAAATTAATATTTACAGTCTAGTAAATAATTTATTGTTTCACTTAAATAATTATTATGACATAAAATGTACAAATAATATAATGAGGAACTTTATTCAATCCATAATTATATTATAATTTACGTATAACTATGATTGACATCCAGGTGAGAAATTATTCTATCAATTTGTAACAAAATACTGTGATAAAATGCGCTAGTAGGTATATACAGGTTTACATTTATTTTATATAAGTAACGTGTTAAAGTACATTAAAAACTATTTTATTTTTCTTACATTTCGAAAGATGACTTTCTATATTATAGCAGCTTACTTATTTTATGTGTTTATTGTATAAAATCTCACTAAAAGTGTTAGATAGAATTTTATCCTCGATTATTCAATGGCGATATTAATTTTATTTGAAACATAGTAGTGTATTATATTACGTATTACATTATTATATCATATTACTTTTATATTAAAAGACGGTTTTTAGCATTTTCCAACATCATTTCAAAATCCTGTAAACTTGTGTTTAATGTGCGGATTATACCATCAAAGTTTCTTCATGTTTGAAACTAAATTCGTCATCATTGCTGCAATAATTAAAAAAATCATCGCATTACTCGTATTAATATAATATAAAATTCGCGATCTATAATCACGATTATTTGTTGAACTCTATAAACATATCAGAATAAATAAAATTAGATAATAATGTATCATCAAAATGTAATTATATGAGAAACAGTGAGATTGTAAAGAGATTACAGAAAAAAATTGTATACGCTATCTGTGTGATCACAACTTATCTAGTCTATTACAAAAATCGTAGGTGTGCACCACAAAAGAAATCTTATTGCGCTATATCATATTATTTGCTACAACAATAATAAAATAAAAAAAACAAAGTTTTTTAGAGAATAAAAACTATATTTTGAATTTTTTTATAATATACTGATTAAACAGCAGAATAAAAATATGTTCTTTTAAAGTATGTTCTGTTTTTTTATTTATGTTTCCACTGTTTTTAATTTCTTGTAAGCATAAAAAATAACAATCTTTAAGTTGTGCCGTTGGTGTAGCACTGTATAGCAAATAAGTGATATAGCAAGATATGCAATTCGAAAATTTCTCAGTAAAAGCACAAGGAAATATTTATTATTTGTACCAATTATACTCGAGATGAATCTTCTCGCGACGCATTATTGTTAATTTGACTATGAAAGGAAAATGCAATAATGTTTATCACAGCCGTATAAAAATTGCCGTAAACAGAAAAGTTATTATTATCGCAAACGATACGGTGTTCTGTCTAGCTGAATTTTTCCTGTTGTTTGGCGATGACATATTAACATCATAAAAATAACGATGATAAGCATTGTCACAATGAGACGGCCAGTCTTTAAAGCATGCCGCATACGCCACGGCGTGAGCAATATAATTTTGTTCAAAAGTACCTCGGAACAAGTGCGCATAGGGACCTGCAAAAGATATTACTATTCATTTCAACATTTTTAAAATTGTTATTCGCGAAGATAAACTAATAAATAATAAACTAATAAATATATGTAACTTCACTTTGCAATTCTCTTATGTCTATTTCTATCAATGTAGATTGTGAACTTTAATCTCGGTTTAATTTATTCTTCATTTTTTCTTTAAGAATTAGAAAGATATAAAGAGTAAGTTAAATCGAGATTAAAGTTAGAGCCGGTTTATAGTAGGCCGTAACCGTTAACTTAGGCCGGTGCTGTAAAAGTTGGTTTTGTATTTTTTCCGTATTTTTCCGTGGCTGTAGGCCGGTAAAGATAAAGTTGAGTCGGTTATGGTCAAAATCAACAGATTTTTGCCGGCTATTATAAACAGTAGTATGGATTTTCTATCTTCCAACTTTTACGGTACCGGCCTAAGTTAACGGTTACGGTCTACGGGTCTATTATAAATCAACTCTTAATCTACATTGGTAGAAATGGACATTAGTTTGCAAAGTGAAATGTTTAAGATATTGTGACAATAAGAAAAAAGTTTTCTCTTAAGTTTTCATTTTTAAGGCGCAGAAATAAAAAATGTAAAATATTTCTTCTTATTCTGCACTTCATTAGCGCTACATTATCAAATTAATTATCAGATAGACAGGACAAATATATTCGTATAATATATTGTATGCAAGGAAAAGTGTAGTTTTTCATGTGCGGAAAAAATTGTATTAAAAAACAGTATATTTAGCCAACAGCAGTGTAATTGAAAATCATCTTGTTAATTCAATAGTATTAATGAAACAAATACGTCATGCTCTTGTTTTATTAATACTCTCAGCATGTAGATTATTAAAATATTTGTTTTATTAATACTACCAGCAAACATATACAAATATAATTCAATGGAGAAATTGAACTAAAGTATAAAATTTAAACGAGTCCAAATTAATTAATAATATAATTTTGTTCTCATTAAAAATGACAAAAAATACTTAGAAATGTTTCAAACTTAACTTATTGTTAGTCAACCGTGAAAATATTATAAAGTTAAATCATAAAATATATATTATAATTAAATTCAAAGGATTCAATTTTACAATTTTTATAATTTAAGTTATTGACTGTCATACGTGATTCTTTTGAATCCTTTGAGTTTAATTATGTACTTATAATATTTATATGATTTAATTTTGTAATTTTTCTGTGTAGAACTAACAAGTAAACCTACTCAAGTGTTACACTCCGATTTTGATGAGTTTTTAATATGTTGTTCTCTAGACAAAAATAAGCAACACATATTTTTTTTATGTGCCCAAACGCACTTTTAAGGAGTGAAACACCCTTTTGAAAAAAATCGATTTTTCTCTTTCGAAGCGAATATCTTCGAAATTATAAGAGGTAGAAAAAAATTTCTAGAATGAAAATTGAATGGTTTCAGGAGTATTTTATAACTATAATAAAAAAAATTTTTTTCTTATAAATAAACAATTTTTAGAGAGAGTATAAATAAATAATTAAAAAAATTTTCTTTTATTAACTTTGCGCGCATACAAACCGTTTATAAGAATGTTTTGCATAAACAAAGCACCGGATCGAAAAAATACCAAGAATAAAAGTTTCTTGCTTTCGAACGTAGAATCGAATGATACTTTTAGTTTTTTAAAAATGGACATTTTTAAACAATTTGTTTAAACAATTATCGTTTAAATAATCAATTTTGCAAAATGAAAAAACGGGTAATTTTTTTTCGTTTTTGCTACGAATCCCATATTCAGTTTGGCGCTATCACGGCTGTATTAGGCATGGGCCTTAATGGGTTAAGATTATTTTTAATTAGATTGCCATTGTGACTAATACTTCTAATGTAACATCATTTTTTTCTGTGTTGCATAAACTGTTTCATTTTTTCTCTCTTTCTTTCTTTAACAAGTGTGAATGTTACACTGTTAATAGAAGTTACAATGTAACAAAATTGCCTTTCTTACCGTTGGCATAAACCCCGACGTCTTCTCCACCGTGAGACTCGTCTTTGAGGAATTTGCCAGCGAAGTGCCTGTAGAAGGGTTCACCGCGAGTTGGATCATCCTCGACTCTTCTCCAGGTTTCGTTAACATCTTTGGTATCATTTCTTCGATGGTAGAAGAATCCTGGTCCGTTAGCATAGGAGAGCGTCTCGTAGGGTATTTGACTAGCTTTCTTGTTGCCAAAACCGAGGATGTCGTTGCCTCTCGTGGGATATCCGTTCAGCGTGAACGAATGCGAGTGATCGGCTGTGACGATAATTAATGTTTCCTCCATATTTAATAGTCGTTGAGCCACCTTAACTGCCTCGTCGAGTTCGTATAATTCGCGCAGTGCCAGTTTTGCCCAATTGCCGTGATGGGCTATATCGATTTTGCCACTCTCGACCTGAAAGATTGAAAAATAGTTAAAGAAAAGAAAAGCTGTCACTTCACTCTTAACTCTTCAGTGCTATACTAAAACACATTAAGAAATATAATGGTAATAAGCAAACGTACGTATCTTTATTAATAAAGAAGTTGTACTATAGAGGAAGGTCACCGATACTGACATACACTGTTAAATCTATAGTGTCAAATTTAACTTAACGTGAGTCGCCATTGTTCCTACTTAATCATTTCGTTATTTTATACTAAAACAATGGTTATATTTGACACTATACAGTGTCAATTTAACACTATATAGTGTCAAATTACACAATATAGTGTTAAATTTAGCTATCGTTTTGGTAAAAAATAACGATATATTTAGTAGGAGCAGTGGCGACTCACGTTAGGTTAAATTTGACACTATAGATTTAACAGTGTAGGTCTCCTAAGGCGACATCCCCTTATTTCTTAGAAACTAACTTTTGCACCTTATTAATACTAATAAAAACGTGATCTGTTTAGCTAATTAAAGAAGTACAAACTCATAATTCATATATTTATGGCTTATTTCTATACCAAATCAGCTAAAAACAAATTCTATGAATCCGAGAAGAAAATTCTTACGGTGTTCTTTTGCAAATTGCGTGATTAAAATAATAGTGACTGTATTATTGATAATATTATGTCATTTTAAATGTTTATAGTTTCATAAATTAGTTTTCTTTACAGAATAGGATATATATCTTTATTTATAGAATAGGAATGTTGGCATTTTATTGCCTACTATGTCAGTTTTGGAGCCCATTTTGTCAGACACTCATTTTTGCATAACTTACGAAAACCTTAATTATTGCAAAATTGCAAATAGTATTATAAAAACTGCTCATACTATCTGGTAGAAGACACTTTTTAGTTTGTATTTATGTTTTTGAAGTTGTATTTTTACCTTTTGTTTAAGAAATATTGTCTAAAAACAAAGTGGTATGTCGGTATCGGTGACCTTCCTCTATATATTATATTAAAAAATTGCTCAGGCAGCACGTAGCTGCAATAAAATAAATTGATGAATAAGAGGATCATATTCAATTAAGGCGGGTCTTGATGCCTAATAATAATATATTGAAATATATTATTGCCTAATAATAATATATGAATTTTTACAATTTCATTCAAACAAATTATGCGCCAATTGTTTGTCAGTCTTGAAACATGGTTTTAGACTGAAGCTGGTGTGATTTGTGATATTATGCATTTACTCTATCTTCAGTCTAAGACTGTGTTGCAAAACTGAATGCAAATAATTAGCACGTAGTTTGTTTGAACGGAAAATTATAAAAATTCATTGGAAGAAAGTTCTGGTTGTTTTAATTGGAATTCTGGTTAAAAATGATTAGAATTAGAACAGATTAGAATTTTCTTGAATCTATTATAATTCTACTTGAAATAACCAAAATTGTGATTATGATGATCAAAATCTTTTGATTCGTTTATTTTCAATTAGAAATTTTTCTCAGTGCACAATATATTATTACCCATATAGCATACAGTTAATGTTCCAACTATGAATTATTCTCCATGATTCTTTGACATTAGAATAAGATCGACGCTCTCGAATTATACATAAAATTATGCACTCAAATAACACGACCTCGAGGTATATCCGCGGGAAGATGGACTAAGAACGCATTACACGAAAATGATCATCAACGCGTAATTTGCATAAGAATCGCATCATCGTCCGGATTTCTTGATGTGTCTCGATTTCGTTTCATTAATGTCATTTTAATATTCATCAAGTACATTATTGCGTAATGTTCGTTCTGCGTAGCATTCGTTCTGACTTACACCGATATAAATATTCAATGCCGTTTAGCGGCGATTACACTGTTCATTGAAAAAGATGCATAAGAATGAAGATAATAGTTGCTTGCTTGCTGGATCACAAAAAAATGAATTCTTAATAGAATGCATAAATGCTTTAATCGAAGAATATTTTATGCTTAAAATAGCGCCAAAAATAAACAATTTCCAATTAGGAATAAATTAGTCTTAAAACAAAATAAATTATATTCTTAGTTCAAAACAAATTTTATTTCAATAAAAGAATAAAGTTGCACTCGTTCATCATTAAATATGCTTGTATTAACGCATTATTTTTTCTTCAATGATACCTTTTGTCAACTTATTTCAAGTCCCCAGTATGCTTTCCAGTAACATCAAGATGACAGAAATCAATGCTGCAGTAAGTAACCATAGCTTTGTAAATGAAGTGCCACATTTATAGAGCATGCTTCCTAATGTGCACGGAGTACAAGCTCTCAAGGAAAAACTGAATCAAACTCTACTAATGTGATTCAAAGGCAAGTGAAATGCTGAGACCGTTCTACCAATACCTCCGTTAGCTATATTGCAAATAATGATGCAAACAGACGATCAACCTCGTCATAATGGTAGAGAACGCTGGCTGCACACACAGGCGGATCCGTCACGGATTCATTACTCATCTCACCCATTTAATTGTGGATAGCAGATCCGCGAATCCGCCGCGGAAAATCCGTCCGCGTGTATAGGCGCCTCTTCGTCGCATCGCAGTGACAAAGTCGGCCGGCTGTTCGCGCATTCCCATTTGCAATATAATTGACAGAAACATTAGGACGAGCTGAATATTTCATCCATCCTTAAAAATTGAACCACATTTAGAGGTATGTTCCACGAATGCAACAGTTCACTCACAAAACCATCGTCGAACTTCATTCACTACACTCATGCACTTCCGACATCTTGATATTACTAAGGGGTCCTTATACATATTGTTGCCGCCTGCTGGCGAATTTTCAAATTTGTAATTCTAAATCCAAGAATAAATAGTTTCTAAATAATGCGATTGAGTTTGTTAGAACCATGTAATGATTTTAGAAACAAGAATACAATTTTATATAAGAATAAAATATACTTTGCACAAATCTATTTATTATTAACGCCAGGGAACATTTATAATTGAAGAGAACATTTTATACTTAAATGAAAGTAAATAGCATACAAGAATAAAAATATATGTGAATCAGGAATTCATTTTTTTCTGTGATACAATTTCGTTTAGCAAATTGTTTTATCATGATACAGTTTTGATTTGCGATTAGAATTATAAAAAACATTATTTTTGTGTATTTTGGCATATAACTATGATATAATGTATTGAAGAAATTTTATTGTAATCCAAATTAAGTATATTCTTAGACTTGTCACCCTTTAAATAAAGGAATTTGTGTCGATTATGATTAAAAAAATGTTCACGATTAATATCGGATGGACCATTTTAATCACCCCAGGCGAATATTTCGAAAACTAAGAGAAATACAGGAAAAAGTTTTATATAAAAGTTGTAGGTTTTCTTGAGGGAAAGAATGTGGAAATAATAGATTTTGTATATGGGGCATTACCAAGGTCAGGTCAAGGTCAACGAATTTTTTAAGTAGGAACCTCTATTTTTTTATTGCATATTTCTTGTAGCTGAAGTCAAGATGTTTTCAAAACATTATAATAAAGTATTTTTTCATTAAGCACTTTTCGAGTTATAAAACTTGATAGTTACTGTACTGCTGACATTAGCATTATCCAAGGTGTACCACGTAGAGATTACTCACAGGGGAACCTCTCGAGGTGTCAAATTCTGATTTTAATGAAACTTTGTGACAGGGTTGGCAAAATTCCACATTTTTTTTATAAAGTCCATTCCAGTGGTAAAAACCGGTATTTTCCGGAAAAAACCGACTCAAAAACTGGACTTTTATATAAAAAACAATAAAATAAATAGAATTATCGATATTTTAATTTACAGGCAGCCTAAAGCGCCTTATAGTCCTAGTTTATGATTCTGCGCGCAAGAATCTACGCGTAAAAGAATAAATAAAAAGCTCAAGTAGTTATTATACGTTTATTATTTTTTTACGAAGTAATCAGTAGGGCGCAGACGTTCGTGTTTGTTTGCGTTCATTTTTGCGTCTGGATCTGATTATATCTACTTGTGGATGTTATGCAATTATTTCTAAAAATGCCCACATACGTAAAACAAAAATAAAATATTATAAGTACAATTATGATATTAAATGTATATAAAGTATCTAAATATGTTATAGTATCATATATCAGTTATACTGTTAAATCTATAGTGTCAAATTTAACTTAATTTAAGTCGCCACTGTTCCTACTCACTACATATACCGTTATTTTAATTAGGTATATCGTTTTATTAATTTGACATTATAGATTTAACAGTATAGTTTTATAGTTTTTGCCACCAGTTTATTCCGATGGATAAATTCCGGACCGGTAAAATCCGGAATTTACCGTGGTTTTTTCCACCTACTGGACTTTTCCTGCCAACCCTGCTTTGTGAACTTGTAAGGGGTTATTTCATCCCTCCAAACCGTTTTTTAGCCGCAAATATTTTCTAAATTCATCTCTTTATGTAAGCTACAAGTTCACAAAGTTTCATTAAAATCAGAATTTGACACCTCGAGAGGTTCCCTTGTCAGTCAGATTTAATCTGTTTTGTGTGTGTGTGTGTGTGTGTGCGCGCGCGCGCGCGCGCACATCCAAGAAAATCTACACTTTTATATAAAACTTTTTCCTGTATCTTAATTTCTAGGAAATATCTGCCTGAGGCAATTAAAATGCCCCCCTGTATATTGCATCAAAGTTGCAAGTTTACATAAGCCATTAAAGTTCTACTGAATTTTCTTTATGATAATTTTTACTAAATATTTAATAAATATTTTAATTTTCTAAATATTTTTTCTTATAATTATGTTAATAATCATTCATCGACTTGAAAAATCCTTAAGTTGAGTATTAATAACAGAAACGAATATCATCTTCCTTTTTGTGCTTGAAAAAAATCATTTTTTGTTGAATACTTTGGTGAAAAAAAATTTCATATTATATCATAGTATTTAGAAAAATTTGTCTATATTTTAATACTGTCCTACTTTTATATTATGGATACTATCATACTTAAAAAGTTATGAAGATTTTTGAAAAAATACTTTCAACTTTTCGAGATTTTATAAGTTTTTTCAGAAATTATAAATTAAATCTTAGAATATTTTAAAACTCACATGTATAAAAAATTCTAGAAATGATGTAAACTTAAATCGAGAAGTTCTATACAGTCGATGCTGGTACTTAATAATATTTCCTAATAACATTGCCTAATAATAATACTTTTATGTAATTTTTTAAATATATTTTACGATTTTATAAATTGCCGAGTACTCTCTCTATGAATTTTAACGACATGCACATGTGTTTTGATGTAATTTATAACTATCTTAATTTTTAACTATTTCAATGTTTTACATTTTACTAGAATAATTATTAAAAAAACATGTATGCCAGTAATTTGTTATAAGTACATCAGGGATAAATAGATATTCGATATGTTTCAGTTTTGTGTCTTATCTATACATTTAATTCTTTTTACATCAAAAACAGTTTATCTGTTAATATTATTACAAAAATGTTTATACAAAGCAAACAAACATGATTATGAATTCATTTTAACATATGTCATAATATCTCGCTATTGAATTGATATTTTGTGATATTTTCCGATATTAATTATACGTACGTAATATACAAATAGATTTCGTATAGAAGAACCATTCAATACAAGTATCATTGCATATTTATATGATAATCTTGCTCATGGAACACGTTTTCCACTTGATATATTATACCTGAGCACGAAATGTCAGTTCTGTGATTAGAGAACTTTAATCACTATTGATTCAAAAATTATGGACTCGACATTTTTGTATTAGGATTTTCGTCTCTAAATTACCTCAAGAATACGTCTTTCAGAGGATATACGATAAAAGTGGGACGGATATACCCTGTATAAAGAAGTCTAAAAAAAATTTACAGACCAATGTTACTGACCATTAGCAGAAATCCGTTTTTGTTCTTCTTCAACAGTCTTATGGCTTGCGTTGTCATATTTGCTAGCGAAGGTGTCTCATCGTCTTTTACAGCGTGATAGGGCATGTGACTAGGCGAGAAAACACCGAGGATATGCGATGTGTTGCTTATATCAATAGACATGAGGTCGTATGTGTTGGTGACAACCCTTCCCTTGGGATGATTCTCTTGCCATTCATTTGCTAAGTTTCTGCCATCAGATCGTTCGCAGTTGCTGGACTCATCAAACTTCTTCAGAGGCATTTTCACGTCCATACCCATTTCACTTAATCCTCCGCCCATGATAACCTTTCAAAAGATACGATTTTAATATTAGATTCTAATTATAGTGAATTATTTTAGGTAAAAAATAAGACATTATGTCATAGGTCTTTAAAATAAATAAATAAGGGATATTATTGTTTTTCATAAAATGTAGATATTTTTAATTATAATGATAACAAATCATTTTCTTTAACAATACTTATAACTTTTTTAATAATTTTAAATACTAAGTAATATTAAGTACTTTTTGTTATCACGTTTCATTACATAACTATTATATAATTAAATTTTATTATTTGCTCTATTAATCTGTTAGATTTGAAATTATATAGATTTTTTTTATGAATGCAAGAATGCGCAAATGCTATGAATTACCTTAAACTGACTCCCTGGTTCATCATGAACGAGTTGTCTCGCGATGTCTTTGATGCAATATCGCTGTTTCTTTGGTATCGCGCTATCACATTCCCAATCTCGATGATTAATATGCGCGTAAAGTCCCGCGGGAGTGGCATGGGTGACACGGGTGGTGGTAACAAATCCTGTTGAATAATCGTGTACGAATTATTTATTGTTTATTGGTCTTTTGAACAGTCTTATGATTCTAATTGAACATCATTAATTTCATAGAGTAGGATATTAAATAACCCAAGCAGAACAAAAAATCATGATAAAAACGGTGTCAAAATAGTTTGAAAATTATTATTAAAATTCATTTTTTAATTATATATATGATCAGCTGATTATGATCAACTGATATAATTAAAATTCATTTTAATTATATCAGTTATTATTAATTTAATGTCATTTTGACATTATTGTGACCAGCTGTTTTTCTGTTTGGGGACATAAAATGTGGGGATATAAAATATTATTATATAATAAAATATAAAACATATCAGATATAAAATATGTATACTATATTATGTTGCAATTTATAAAGATACTTTATTCTGTATTTTGATATATATTCTGATTGTATGCCGATGTTATGCGTTGATTTATTCATGCCCAACAACGTAACGGAAAAATGAAGGTCAAGATGCAACGAATGCGTTAAATACTAATCGGCGAGTCATGTAAAAAGTTTTCATTATTTTGTCAAAGTAGAAATCAGTCACGGCTGACTGAACGTCGGACACGATAGAAGGTCGGCTTATGACCTCCTCCTTTATTGAGTATACTTTCACTGTATATGATTTCAACGAGGTCTACTCAGCACCAACACTTCTGTTAATATAAAAATAGCCGATCACGCGTGACACGTGTTCTCTACAAGATTGATACTCATAATCGCGTGCATATGTATCATGGGGTACAAATCATATTCGAGAGAGCGTCGCGTCTAAAAATATCCTTAACCCTAGAATGTTATCGATATTGGATGATATAATATTGCTATTAATACGTAAATTTTATGTTCGAGGAAATAGGTCACATTTAATTAATATAACACAAGATTTTCATACATTTCACACTTTTAATGACAAAATATTTATCTAGACTTTTATAGACACAAATAATCTAATTATTAACTTGAAAAGAAAGAAAGAGAATAAGCACATTACCAAATTCAATCTTGAAGTGATATGTTATATTACATTATTATATTACATTTGCAATGAGAAAATTAATTATTCGAATCGGAAAATAAAATTATCTGTCAACAGTTTATACGTAAATCCGACATATACAAAAATATATAAATTAAATTATAAAAATACATTGTATATATAAAATACAAAATATAAAATAACATAAAATATATAATATATAAAATATATAACATAATATATAAAATAATATATAAAAAAAGATATACAATAAAAATAAATTGCTTAAAAATTGAATTACTTATTCTCTTTGTTATAATACCGACTGTTAATCATTGAAGACATAGTTTAATTATCATTCAATGTTGTTGCTCACCTGTATGTCAAATTTACGTATATTTACGATATCATTCTAGGATTAATAATCTAAATGTTAGGAAAAAAAAGTACGTTTTTAGTGAAAGCGCCTTTTAAAACTTTTGTTTGAAAAAGTTTGGTTACATGGAAGTAGAGACCTAAATGTTAGTTTTATTAATCTCCAAAAAGAAGTTAATATTAAATATATGCATAAATAATATTTTTCGTTGTAAGATTAATTTTAAATTATTAATATTATTTCAATTTGGATTTGTTTATTTAATATAAATTATAATGAAATGTGAAATGCGTATTATCAAACGATCAAGTAATTGTTACGTCTGCAATATAAACATGCACATAAGATGAATAAATTATATATTGACAAGAAAATTTATGAAGTTACTAAATAATTGGAATCATGTTTTTAACAGTATCATACATATATTATATATACTGCTGAAACATTATATACCTATGCGTGTATGTATAATATGATTATGCTTATAATTACATTTGATCGCGTGAGCTTATCACATGTTATATAATAAAAATTGATAGCTTTAGTATCTCAATATCACATTGTGTAAAAAAATTTGCTTAGTCAATAGTTTAATCGATAGCAATCGGCGATGCATGAGAGATTTCTTCTGATCGATTTTTAAATTCTAAGAAGTATTTGAAATGCTTAAATCTAAGAAGCAAATATGTGCCAAGGTTTGATCACGCTGTATCATGAGTTATCGATCATGCTCCCTCGAAATTTATTGGTCGAACAAAGTTTCAAACAACGATTAACAACAGCTTTATTATCACAGTCGAAATTTAAACTAGCTTCTTAGCTAATTAGATTCTTAATTAGCTCGAGATTTCTCTCCCGATGTGATTGCTTATAATTCAGGCGAAATATTCAATTATAAAAACTTCCTCGCCGAAAACTGTTTTTTTATAGCTCCATAAATAATTTTAAACTTCATAAATAATTCTAAAGATAGTTTTAAAGAAGCTGGATAATATGAGAGAGTTTTGAAAAATAATTTATGTAAAATTAAAATGTGGGCAATTTGAAATCTTTTACTATTAAAATTTTTTAGCATTGAGAGAAAAAGATATTATAATCTTTAAAAGCTCTTACCAGTGTCTATACCGGATTGCTGTGCCCAATCGGCTACTGTGTTCAGTTTGCTTAATTCGTTGATCTGTTCGTCGCACTTGCTAACTTGGGCTCTGGCATCCAGTCCAACCATTCTGTATTTGGTTTTCACACCAGAAAATATAGCAGTAGCCGTCCCTGCGGAATCTGGTACTTGCTTGTCTACATTGTAAGTCTATAAATGAAAATTGTGATAATTGTGAAATATTTGTATTTAATATGTGACATAATTTCGATAACTGATAATGAGATTTAATCTTTCGAATATACAATACATTATCGGACATTTTAATTAAAATTGCAAAGCACGAAATTTTATTATTGATATGTTGCAGTAATTTCCGGTGGCGTGATAAATACAGAGGCACAATATAAGTCAATGAATGACCTTTTTCTGTAAAATGCAGTCGCATTTTACAGAAAAAGGAGCTTTGCAACTGTTGTAAAATTTTTTAATGTAATTGGTCTTGCCCTTAGTTCCTTATTGGATCTAAATGTATAAATCAATTATATTAAAGAATTTTACAACAGTTGCAAGCTGCTTTTTCTGCTGAACACAGCCATTACTCATGTTTGGTGAGCGATTAGAAGATCGACGGGGATTAATTGTAATGCGAGCATCGCGTTTGTCGTATTTTCTCGTCGAGAATAGAACGCGGCGTCCTTATCAAAGACGCGGAATTAAGCGGCTTAACGTGACGGGATTTCCCAATATCGTCGCGCCTCGCGAGACCGCCGCTCCGTCGCGATTGAAGGCAATTTGAATGTCTACCTTGGCGAGGGCGGTGTTGGGGAACTTCTCGAACGAGAGTTGATATTCTTCACCGCTCTGACCATTGAGCTGACCTACATATATTCGACCGGATGTGATGGTAGACAGGCCCATACCGTCCCCAATGAAGATGATCACGTTTTTGGCACGATTCTCGTTCTTCTGCTCCGCCAGGATTTTATGCAGGGTTTCTTGGCCGGACTTTAGCCAGAAGGACATGTCTGAAGAGAGATCAAAATTTAGCTTTGTTGCCCAGAAATCTTATCGAATGATTGTGAGAAGACGGATAGAACGGAATTAAGTTTCAAATGAAAATTAAAAAATATTAAAAAGATAAGGAAAAAGTACTTGAGACAGTAATTAGAGGACTTTAGACTCTCTCTGTATCGATTTCTTACTTTAAAAGCGGTACAATTTAACAAATTTCCAAGAAGAGGGGAAAAACGATTTTTCAACTTGACAGAAAATTATTGATTAATCAAACAATATTGGTAAAAAGGTTATATTCTTAACATGATCAAATATCATTTTTGTTTCGTAATTCTTAAAAAAAAATCATCTTTTTTGAGATGTGATGATTTTGACGATTTTTATAAAGTTAAGGCTCCTGAGTATTCACCTAGCTATGTTACATAAATTCTACATAATTATTTGATACTCTAAACAAAATTATTTTCAGGTTTATATCTAGCCAAATTTTTGGATATTTTAGCGCAAAATCATTCTTTCCATATGTTATGATTTATTATCTGTAATTTTATCTACTATATTTATATGTATGCAAAGAGAGATTCAATTGCACTTTGCATATGTAGGCAAAGTGAAATTCAATCAAAGTTGATGATATTAAGCAACGTAGCAAATTAAGTTTTAGATATTTGATTTCTTGGCACATTGAAGAATAAGATTTAGAAATCAAGATAATAGTATCGTTATCAATGAACAATTTTGTATTCGCCAGAGCTATTTTGTGATATATCGATATTGATAGCTTACTCTTACAAACAGCTTGTTATATAAGAAAGCAATATTCATGAGTAAAAATTTCAGACATTCGGTATTGATAATGATCGACAAAGAGCGAATTTTGTACGACGGTTACTTTATTGACTTTCAATGATTAGACAAAATTTATATAATTCTGATTAAATGATCAAAGCAATCTGCTTTTTTGTAGAACTCTATCAATGAATGGTATTTTTGAGTATGGTATTTTTGAGAGTTTATATATTTATTATACATATTTAAAATTTGTAACGTACTAATTATGCTTATTAATATCAAATTTTAAAAAGTTTTGAAAACGTAAAATTTTTAATTCATGTTTGTGCTATTTATTTAAGAACTTTGCGATCTAATTCGAACGTATGTCAATTATTTTATAGTATGACGGTTTATATCAAACCTTCATAATCCGTTGATCCTTTACGTAGCGCTTCAGAATGTCGAAGAAATGTTGCGATGCAAAGTAATAGAATGTAGCACCTCATTGTGAATGTTTTTTATCTGCAATATGTTAAATAAAAAATCAACATTATTATTTAGAAAAATAATTTATTTTTTGTACTTCAGTGAAAAATAAAATTATATTTATTATTTCATTATAAAAGTTATGAAATTCTCATTAAAAGTTAAAAATGTAGATTTAATGTTTATCTTAACGGTACATATTTGTTTGCTGCTTTAGTAATTTCGTTATCCAACGTGTACATTCTCTATTCTTTACTCACTGTTATTCAAAACTTTTTATCTTGAATTACGCAACCGAATTTTGCAATGCGACATAAATGACAAAAATAAAGTGTATATCTATTTGAAATTTGTTTTATTTTGAAAAACCTTGGAAATTCTATTATACTATACTAAAAAATTAACAAATTTTTGCAAAGACTTTTTACTTATTGCAGTGGTCATTAAACGCTAAAGCTATGCTTTCAATGGTCAGCAATAGTCAGTAATTATCACCATTATTTATTGCACTTTTGAATTTTTACGTAAGCTTCTTGGTTTTTTCTTTCATGCGAACTATATTAATAATTCACATTAATAACCACTAATAAAATCACTAAACTGAGCAAGAGACTAATTTAAATATGTATGAACTATGCATATACAATACATACTAGTTCTTAGAAATTAAAAAAAAATTATCAACACGTGTCACGTCACTGGTATTTTTTTCACACGCATATGTTTCTGTCTACTAAATTAGATAGGTGTAAAAAGAAAATTTCTTCTGTTTTCTGCGTCATTTTAAATCCATTTTAAACCATTTGGACTAGGGTGTCAGCCGAAATTCGCGAATCAAAATACTATAGCAAGAAAATTCACAGTAAAAAGAAAAATATAAATTATAAAAGCATGCTATTTATTGTTTCGAGCAGTAGTTTTTGAGTTAAAAAAATGATCTGTAAGCAGGCGAAGTGCGCGATCTACACTAGTCGAACTCACTCATAACTCACGAAGATAGCAGTATAACCGTAATTATATCTATAATTGGCCAATTTTACATTTTTATCTCAAAAACTATTACTCGAAATGTCAAATACTTTTACGTGTATAACATATTTTGATAATTATGCTGATGAAGGGAGCTAGCCCCGATGACCTTGATTTGATATATGTTGTCAAGGTCATGACCCTGCGTGACCTCCAAGTTTTAGCCGTCGCTTTTCCAACAAGTTTTAACCGTCGCTCGTCATTTGTTAAAGAGTTATTAACAGTTAAAGTTAGTAATTATTTCACTGCTTTACATGAAAAGTCAAATAACTCTAACCTTCGATTCTCATCTCCCCCTCCCCCTGCAAAGAGGCGCCCGACTCTTACCTTCGACTCTCACCCTCTGCAAAGGGGCGTACGACTCTCATCTTCGACTCTCACCCCCCTCCCCTTTACCTCTGCAAAGGGGCGTCCGACTCTCACTTACGACTCTCACCCCCCCTCCCTCCCCACTGTTTGAGAATCGTTCGCCCCTTTGCAGAGAGGAAGAGGGGTGAAAGTCGGGGGTGAAAG